ACAGGCATGTAAGGATGCCCAGAGAGGGACAGTCAACATTTCGGTCCACATGCGGCCATTTGTGTACACTCTCCGCGTGGGGCTTTCGGCTTTGTACTTTGGGGACACGATGGCGACGACGGATGATGTGATTCATTTTTTTGCGGAGTCAGCACCTGAAGCGACCAACCGACTTATTGAGGCGGGCCTTGCAGCAGGTAAATCTAAAGGATTGGGCGGGCGTTTGAAGTGTGCATAACATGCAGTGCTGGTTGTCTTCCCGTTGGAGATGTTACACCATTGAAATGTATCACATGCCTGTGCATTCTCTGCTTTACAGATCCTGCTGCAAACGACACACATACCGGCGTGATTGTGGAGAGGCACCGAAAGGAGTACGGTCGCATCTTCAAGGAACACGCAAAAGGAAGTTTCGAGCATGTCGCAGACCTGCAGAAGCGGCCCAATCGAGTTCTGGCTGGGCTGAGGTATTCTTTCCCGCTGGTGCAGTATGATACGCGCGGAAAACTGCGACATGTTTCCGGTCGATCGTGGGGAGGCGCTAGACGTGGCGCGGCATTTGCGGGGACACACAATTTGGGTAAGTTGTGGAAGAGGAATATGATGTGTGATTGTATCGTACTTGAGTAATAAACGCCTATCATTCATCTTGCCCAATATGATACAGTGGCCAACCATCTTGGGGGTGGCAACGTCATGGGGACCGAACTGCCACCGACGCCAGACGTGGGGATTGTGGAGGGAGCAGGCATGGATGGTGATGAGGGCGTAGCCAGAGTTCATGGAGATACTGCGGTGGCTGCGCCCACACCGTGCTCGACGACGACTCCAGAACGGCCAGTGCAGGGGTGAGATCAATGCGTGAGGTGGCTATTCATACTTCCCTTCATATCCATTTCGTTGTGCACTATCTTATATGTCATTGTATCCATGTCCCAAATCCCCTTCCTGTGATGTCTAGGCCTGCCAATAGCCACAGACGGGCAGTTGGGCGTGGGAGTGTCCCTAGGCACTGGCCTTCTGCTCCGAGCGTGGATGACATCGACGAGCAGCGGGTATGTCTTGTTGAGCCACGACAGTTGGTTGGGTTCTTCCAAGGGTGTCGATTGGTGTGTTCACATGAGAGCGCGTGTAGTGAGGGGATGACATTACGATCATGGAAGTTCTCATGGGCCTCGGTCGCCATGTTTTGGAGATGTGACGCATGCTCACATGGAGTAGAGTTCTGGTCATGTCCGAGTCGGCGTATAGAAAAAGCCCGGACCGGTGTAGGCGCACATTCTCCGATTCTACAGTCGAAATTTGTCGGTGCATTTGCTTTAGCCGGGATGGGGTATCAGCAAATGTGGGAGTTTTGTCGCAACTTCAGCTTGCCAACACCGGGGAAGGGCACATTTTACAAGTACCTTGGTGACGATAATGGGTTATGGAATGCTATACTGAGAGAGGCTGATAAGTCTATGGCTGCGGTACGAGAAGAGATGATGAAGCGACAAATCCCTACAGAATATGTAGTGGTCGATGGTCGATGGTCACATGTGCGTGAGGGAGAGTGGTGTACAGTATCGTTCTTAGATTTACCATCTAGGAAGATAATGTACTGTGCCACGACACGAAAAGGGGTGGATGACACTTCTGCGGTGCGGCTGGAAAGGGTGGCTTTCGATAGAGGGTTAGATGAACTGGCGCAGAAAGGATTTACGGTGGAAGGGATAATCTCTGACCAAGGGACTACTTTTCGCGGAGCAGCGTCCGAAAGGGGATTGAACCACCAGGTGGACTGGTGGCATGTGAAGCGGACTCTTTACAAGTTGTTTCTGAAAGAACTTCAGGATTCGGTCAGTGCACCGGTGGCTGTGGACAAGGCAAGCTGTATTGAGGATCTATGGCTTGCGACTGTCGAAGGGCTATGGCAATGGTTGACAGCACGGGGGTTGGTGAAAGAGTCGAAGGCTTCTCTCAAAGAGGCTTTGGTGGAAGCAGTTTGTGAAGCCATGGGCACGATTGTTTACAAGAAGATGACCCCAGAAGAGGCGAAATGGAAGTTTCCCGAGCTAAGACAGGTGGTGCGGATGGGGGGGGGGTGTAGTACGGTGGAGGTGCCTGTGAACTACGGTAAGGTGCCTGGTGCTTCTGATGCTGATGTGCGAGAGCGGGATGAGCAAGCTGAGCGGGCTGCCGTGGACGTGCCGACTCCTGAGGAGGGGAACGTTGACGTTCAGTGGGAGGACGTGGAGGAGCTATGGAGTTATGATGTGCACCCGACGCATGGTGCACGGCCGGTATCTTTGGCGAGCACCCTCATCATGCTTGCGCACGCGGGCGCGAACAGAAACTCCCATTTCATCGGTGGATCCACACCTTGGGCCAACACCGACACGGAGACCGGTATGCATACACCCCCTTCCCAAGTTTTGGGCATGATTGATCCAAGTGCAATTCTATACTAAATTCTCATCTTTCATTTTCTTACATCCACAGATGCGCCTGATGGAGGCAGGGCTGATACCGAGGTGCAGAACCCTAATGCGTTCAGCGAGCCCGAGACACTACCTCGCTGGACTGGTCGCCGTAAGCGGAAAAGAGGCAAAGATCAGATCGACTCTGGCAAGGAGGAACAAATTGTGGCACAACGCTTATCCTCTCATTTCTATCATGTGATGGTGCGATGTGGTGCAAAGAAGAAAGAGGGACATCCTATGACCCTGGCCGACGTGGCGAGGGAGCTTGGGAGCCCACCCAACCACTGGGCAGGTGACCACTCCGGCTGCTCTGGGGTAGGAGAGACCCCACCTCGCTGCGTCAGAGAGGGGTGGGGCAAGGACCATGCCATATATGAGTTTGGGTCATCAACACATAAGGCGGTTCGTGCATGGTTCTCCAAGCACTTAAACCCCGAGAAGGTGAAGTCCTTTGTGCATGGCGCATCGAGTTCTCTCAACGAGTCTTTCCATTCTTTGATCATCAAATACGCACCAAAGCGGATTAGGTTTCAGGGCAGCTTCCCGGCGCGAGTTGGTCTCGCGGTTCTTCATTGGAATCACGGCATGGATCGTCTGGTGACCGCCTATCGCACTAGAGTCCGACAGGTGACGAGGATCAGGCGCGGATCCAAGGAGCGCATCTTGACCAAAATGGATTGGGCTTGGGTTGATCGCATCATGGAGGAATGGCAACGAACACTGCGGCATGGAGATAGTGTGGACGTTGCCGAGATGCCTGAAACAACGGCAACAGCTGCGCAGCTGGTCGATGCATCGATCGCACGGCCCACAGCATCTGTTCTTGAGCCCGTGACACCAGTGCGCCAAGGAGGGATCGGTCCGGTGTGCGGCACGTCTCGTGGATCTGCACGCCGTCGTTTGGGTAAGCAACGACAGCGTATCTTGAGTGTTGTTATCGCTTATCTTGGCACATATTCGACGTCAACATTCTAGCCAGCGTAATGTGTTCACAATCCGCGTTTTCCACTCCATCTTTATGTTGCTTATAGGTGATGTGTCGAACCTCCCACGCTAAGCGTCTAAAGGCCACCTCAAGTGAGCTGTCAAACCCGCGCAAGGCTTGCCCGTCATCACGGAAAAGCACCACGATGCCGCCCACAACTATCGACACCCCCAAAGATATTTGGCAAACACCTCACGCCCACCATGCTCTAACTTGGCCTGCTCGGCTCTCCCATTATATCCAAGTCGGCTTTGTATTTTTTCTCGCCTCGATCTTGTCACCTCCCCCTAGGCATGCCACTCCATGCCATGCCATGCTTGGACCCTGCCCTGTCCTGCCCTTGTTTGCTACCACTAAGCATGCCATGCCCTTCCCTGTCCTGTCACGCACCGCCTTTCCCTGCTCCATCTAAACATGCCATGCTATACCAGGAGATGCCCTGCCCTGCCCTGTCATGCCCTGTCATGCTCTTCCCTGCCCTGCCCTGCCTGGCCCTGCCCGGCCCTGCCCTTGTTTGCTACCACCAAGCATGCCATGCCATGCCCCTCCCTGTCCTGCCCCGCACCGCCTTTCCCTCTGCCCTCTAAACAGGCCATGCCACACCAGGAGTTGCCCAGCCCTGCCCTGCCCTGCCCTGTCCTGCCCACTCACCTGCCCTGTCCTGCCCTGCTCTGCCCTGCCCTGTCCTGCCCTGCCCTGAACTTCTGTGCCCTGCCCTGTCCTGCCGTGCCCTGTCCTGCCCTGTCCTCCCCTGCAATGCCATGTCCTGCCCTGTCCTGCCCCGCCCCGCCATTGTCTGCACCCTCTATGCATGCCATGCCATGACTAGAGGGGCCATGCATGCCCTGCTTTGTCATGGCCTGCCCCGCCCTGGTCTGCTCCTTCCGCGACATGCCATGCCATGCCATGCCATGCCATGCCCTGCCCTGCCCTGCCATGGTTCTCCCCTGTCATGCCCCGCTCCGCCCTTCTCCCTTCCCCCCTCCAGGCATGCCCTACCCCTGCCCTGACCTGCCTTGCTCTGCGGATGAGATTATGGATCGCGACAGGCACACCACCCTAAACTCTGGCCTGTCCTCCTTCTCATTGGCTATAGCTGCAGGTTTACCACTGTGAGAGGGATGAGGCTGAAACCCCATCGGATCAAGAGGATGAGGTTGCAAATGCAGTGATAAGAGATGCGGAGGAGTGGAGCGTCGATAGTGATGAGTGGTGGGTAGCAGGCCGCTATGACGGGGAGGAAGTGGATGTGTGGGTGGCAGGTCAAGATGAGTGAGTGGGTTGTGTATCCATCCCCACTTGGTGACATTGCTCTTGAACATGCCATGGACGAGTGTGTTTTCTGGACTTTGCCGTTCTGTCCTAAACCTAATCATGATACTGTATTAGAGTAATAAACTGGCACATATTATATTTGTAGTTGCAATAGACAATGTAGGCAGTTACACGGGCGACTGAAATTAGCCGGGTGGAACTACTCCAGTGCCTCATGCGACAATTTATAATGATGCCAAACCCATTGGCAACCAGTAACATCCAAAGCGGCTCGCCAGTCATGGCGAGCGAAGGAATGGTGTGGGGCAGTCAGGAAAGAGCGGCAGGGCGTCAGGGTGCACCTCCCACAACACCAACACTGTGGTGCTGCTGGCCAGGGCACTCAGATCCTGACAGGGTGGGGCAGGAAGGTGGAGATACGACAGGACACATCTCAACATTCAGCCCAGACGTTCTCGACTCATCGATGCTGTTTGCACTTTTCGAACGTGAGCTTGTTCCTAAGTTTGCTGCCCTGCCCCCTAGTTGCACCTGCGTACCCCCTCCTCCTTCTCGATGTGAATGCAATCCAAAAAGGTCTGCAAGTAGTTGGGTGGAGGCAGGAAGGGGGAGGAGAATGGTCACTGAGCTTGCACACAAATCTGCTGTGCTGCCCCACTGTTGCGCGTGCATCCCCCCTCCTCGCTGCGCAGCCACATGGGGAGAAAATGGAGAGGCACATGGGGAGGGATTGGAGCGGCCTGTATTGAGGGATTGGAGAGGCACATGGGGAGGGAGGGGAGAGGCACATGGGGAGGGACAGGAAAGATGGTGAGATAGAGGGAGAGGAGGGGCATATGGGGTGGTCGAATGCTCACCTGGTGCGTGAGTCTCACTTCTAAGAGGGTGGGGGTAAGCAGGACGGAGGGCGGAGGGAAGCAGGGCAGAGGGATGGGGGAAGCATTGCAGAAGGAGGGTGGGCTACTGGGCGGAGGGAGGGAGGAAGCTGGGCGGAGGGAGGGAGGAAGCTGGGCAGAGGGAGGGAGGAAGCTGGGCGGAAGGAGGGAGGAAGCTGGGCGGAGGGAGGGAGGAAGCTGGGCGTAGGGAGGGAGGAAGCTGGGCGGAGGGAGGGAGGAAGCTGGGCGTAGGGAGGGGGGAAGCTGGGCGGAGGGAGGGAGGAAGCTGGGCGGAGGGAGGGAGGAAGCTGGGCGGAGGGAGGGAGGAAGCTGGGCGGAGGGAGGGAGGAAGCTGGGCGTAGGGAGGGAGGAAGCTGGGCGTAGGGAGGGAGGAAGCTGGGCGGAGGGAGGGAGGAAGCTGGGCGTAGGGAGGGAGGAAGCTGGGCGGAGGGTGAAACGTTGCTGGCAGGGAAGTAGCAGCCTTAGTAGGCTAGGAAAACGAGGATAGAGTGCTCTCTGGAGTTCTCTGGAAATTGCACTATGACTTCACAAATTTCACAGTACAATTTTATAGAGCACATTCAAATATCGAGTCGCACTCCCAAGTCGCGACTCTCTCTGAATTTCTCAATGGTAACCCAACCCCTTTGAAATGAACCTGCCGTGAAATTCAGAGAATTATTGCGGTACGGGATTGGACGGCGAGCTTGGTCACGGGGCTGTAATTTCGTCGGTGTTGTTGGCGAAGTCGGCGAGCGGTCGGAACTTCGGTGTTCTGCGTTTCGTAATTTTCGCGCGAGGGTTTGTGTTGGGCTGCGTGTCAGGACCTGGTCGCCCAGCTGCAGGTTGAGGCGTTTGACCAATACGAACAGTTGGTGAGGTGGCGCTTGACTTCCGCCCACCTGCACTGTACTTGGCAGCATTCGGCTGCCACACTGTTACATTACTTCCCCCTCCAAGTGGCGCCGTCCACGGCGCCAAACCATGGCTGGTCAAATACCGATTCACAGCAGTTGCGGCACGGTCAAGGTGGCTCTCTGGTTCCCATGAGTCGTCACTAGTGGGCTGGTCCTTCCAATGAACAAGAAACTCGCGACCATGAGGTGTGTCGCGATGTGCAGCGATAGATGCAACCTCAAACAGGCCGGGGCTGCCTTCGAACATCGGTGGCAGTTGGCGTGTGGCTGGACGGTCGTGTGAAGGTGCACGGAAAGGGCGGAGGCGCTGGACATGGAAGACGGGGTGAATCTTCATATAGCTGGGCAGTTGGAGACGGTAGGTGACTGGTGAGAGGACTCGGGTGATGGTGAACGGGCCAATAAAGCGAGGGGCGAGTTTTCTGGTTGTCCCTTTGCGTAGGAGAGGTAGGTGGTCAGTGGAGAGTAACACTTGATCGCCAACCTTGAAGCGTATATCTTTGCGGTGGGAGTTGGCATAGTGGGTCTGTTTGGCTTGAGCTTTAAGGATGGAGGTGCGAGCGGCATCAATGGCTGATTCGAGTGAGGTGAGGAACTCAAAGGCTGCTGGTGCGTGGGAGAGGTGGGGGGGTGGGGTCGTGGGGAGGCGGGGGTGCTGTCCGGTTGCGAGGTAGAAGGGTGGCTGGCCGGTGGAAAGGTGGGGTGTGCTGTTGTATGCGAGTTCGATGGCGGTGAGGTGGAGATCCCAATCAGTTTGGCGAGCAGTAACTTGTGCACGGAGGGAGTCTTCAAGCGTGCGGTTCATCCGTTCGGTTTGTCCGTCCGTTTCAGGGTGATACGCGGTAGAAAACTTCAGCCGGGTTCCGTGAAGCTTGAAGAGGCTCTGCCAAAAGTTACTCAAGAAGCGGGGGTCACGGTCTGAAATGATGGCGGATGGGAGACCATGTAGGCGGACTATGTGATCGAAGAAGAGTCGGGCTGTTTTGGGTGCGGTGACGGTTGTGTGGGTAGGAATGAAGTGGCTCATTTTGGAGAGTCGGTCGACGACGACTAGGATAGCGTTGTAGCTGCGGGGTGTGCGGGACAGATCCATGATGAAGTCCATGGTGACTTCATCCCACACTTTGGTAGGTGGAGGGATGGGCTGAAGGAGTCCGGAGCGGTTGGTGGTGCGTGCTTTGAGTTGTTGGCAGGTGCGGCAGGTGCGTATGAAGTCACGCACATCAGCATGCATGCGTGGCCTATGGTAGTCGTTGGAGAGGCGTGCGTAGGTCTTCTCAACACCAAAGTGGCTGCCGGTAACGGTGTCGTGGTATTCGGAGAGTAGCAGCTGTCGTAAGGAGCGATCTGCAGGGACACAAATGGTCTTGGTGACGGTGTTGTACCAAAATGGGTCTTCAAATGAGTAGGCCGGGTCCTCGGGTGCTTGCTTGACAAAAAACAGGTCACGTTTGTAGGCGCGCTGAAATTTCGTGATGAAGGTATCATCCCAAGTGATGCTGCTGATTCCATGGAGTTGCAAGGGTGGGTTCGGAGTGTGAGGTGGAGGTGATGAGGTGGGGCTGGTTGGTGGTTGGTTTGGGCTGGTCGGTGGGTGGTGGGGCTGGTGGTGGTGGTCGGGACAAGAAGTCGGCTGGGTTGAGTTTTCCGGGGCGGTAGATAATCTGAAGTGAGGGTACGAACTGCTCCAAAAACTCAGCCCATCGGGCTTGGCGGCGGCTGAGCACGGGCTGTGTTTTCAAGTGTTGAAGAGGGCGGTGGTCGGTGTAGACGGTGACGGGCTGCAGCTCCACGTAACAGCGCCATGTCTTGATTGCGTGGACAATGGCAAGGAGCTCCCGATCGTGTGTTGCGTAGTTGCGCTCTGCCGGTTGAAGCTTGCGTGACTCGAAAGCGAGTGGCTGCATCCCATGGCCGTGGTCTTGGCAAAGAATGGCACCGACAGCGACATCGGAAGCATCGGTCCATATGAAGTATGGGCGTGAAGGGTCGGCGACGGTGAGGACCGGTGGAGAGGTGAGTGCTGATTTGATTGAGTTGAAAGCGGTCTGCTGCGGTATTCCCCATTGAAAGGCAGCTCCTTGACGGAAGAGATTGGTCAAAGGGGCGCAGATGTGAGAGAAGTTGAAAATGAATTTCCGGTAATACTTGGCGAGGCCGATGAAACTTTGCAGCTCCGCTACCGTGCGTGGGGCTGGCCAATCACCAAGGCACTGGACCTTTGCGGGGTCCATAGCAATGCCTTTGGAGCTGATGACATGGCCGAGAAAGCCGATGCTTGAACGGGCGAAGGTGCACTTGGAGAGCTTGGCGTAGAGGCGGTGTTGGCGAAGCGTGTCGAGGACGATGCGTAGGTGCTGAGCGTGTTCCTCGAGTGACTTGCTGAAAATGAGGATGTCATCGAGGAACACGATGACAAAGCGGTCGAGGAAGGGCCGAAAAATGTCGTTCATGAGTCCCATGAACGTGGCTGGTGCGTTGGTGAGGCCGAACGGAAGTACGCGGAACTCGAAGTGGCCGTAGCGGGTTCGAAACGCCGTCTTGTTGATGTCGTCTTCGGCGAGCCGGATCTGGTGGTAACCGGAGCGTAGGTCAAGCTTGCTGAAAACTGTTGCTTCCCCAAGCATGTCGAACAACTCCTCGACACGGGGCAGCGGGTACTTATTCTTGATTGTGATGGCGTTGAGGGCGCGGTAGTCGATGCAAAGGCGCAGGTCACCTTCCTTCTTGCGGGTGAAAAGCACGGGGGCAGCGTATGGTGAGGTGCTTGGGCGGATGAAACCCTTCTCGAGAAGGTCATCGAGTTGACGTCGGAGCTCCAAAAGTTCAGCAGTGCTCATGCGATAGGTTGGGCGCACGGGCGGTGTAGAACCTGGAATGAGGCGGATGCTATGGTCAATAGCACGCTCGGGTGGAAGTTCGGCGGGAAGATCTTCGGGGAAGACGTCGGTGTAGCCTTGGAGTAACTTCTGTATAGGTGATGGGAGAGAGTTGGGTGATGGTTCAGATTCGGGAGCGGTGAAGATGACTAGGAGATGATGAGGAGGAGGTGGTGATGGAGGGGTGGGGGCTGATGGATTGATAACTTCAAAGGCGGGGCGGATGATGGGACGTCGTGGCTGCTGGGTTGGGTGGGGTGGAGAAGGAGGAGGTGTGTTGATCACTTCGGGGGAGCCGGGTGGTGTTGGCTGCTGCACGGGAGCTATGCGAGGAGGAGGGAGAGGGGGGATATGGGAAGATGGAGATGGGGCAGGTTGGGGTGGATGGGTTGATGAAGCGGAACTGGTTGGGGATGACCATGGTCGGCGAAAGGAGTGGGATAGGAGGTCGTAGTTGCCGACGGTGACAGTTCCGTTGCGCCAATAAATCCGCGGTCCAAACTGGTGCAACCATGATCGACCGATAACGCCTTCGTACCCGCCGAGGTGCAGTTGCTCGAACGTGACCGTCGCCTCCAAGCTTCCAAACATGCAATGCACAGGGAGGAGAGTAGGTCCGCAGCGCCGCCGAGTACCATCTGCCATGATCACGTCCTGCGGGTTGTTGTTGGGATCTTCGTGGAGAGAGAGTTCAGCAGCAATTGAGGGAGAGAGGAAATTTGCTGAAGCGCCGGTATCGAGCAAAAAGTCAACGTAGCGATTCTTTATTTTTGCGTATAGAATGATGGCGGGGAATGGAGCGTTGGATGTGGTGTAGAGTTCAGAGGTGCCGATGAATAATGGAGTCGGGAGAAGCGGGGCATGCGATGCGCCAGAGGTCTGCCCCACTGCTACTGGCGCTGTCCGTTTCCCGGAGACCTTTCGAAGTTGCGGCGGTTCGGGCAATGTCGCTTGATGTGGCCGACTTTCCCGCACGAGTAGCACGTAAGCGTGGACTGGTTGCGTGCACGCTG